GATATTGAATTGAAATTATATAAAAAGTCTATTTTACTTTTAATGATACAAAAGATGTAAAATCAAAACTGACGCCAATTTCTTATAATGTAAAAAACATCACTATAGTGAAATAAACCAACGTTTAATATTATTAAATAAAAAAATAATTTGCATAATCTCTTAAGATCAAACTGACGTATAAAAACTTGGCGCGCCCAGGTTGCATTAAAACTAACAATAAATAAACAATGTGATATACTAGAATAACAATTATTAAATTAAAATTATATTAAATTAAAATATAATACAATATAATTTTAAGTTAATATAACAGTAAATATGTATGTATATATTTTAATGCCAGCGATGTTTTTATTTTCAGATAACGCTACGAAATCGGACAATTTTATTATTGAATCGTTATGTAAAGGATGAAAATAATATTTAATTTGATAACTTTTATGTATTGTATTTTAAACAATACAGTAAAGTGAAGTCGTCAAAGATTAGGCATCAGGCCGCGCTGGCCTGAGGAACGCGCGCCGACACTGACCGCTACGTACTACATACGCGCGCTCATTCGTTAATCTGATCCACTGTAAAAACTGCTCGTCAAACGCAATTTTGCTAAAGGAAAAAGTTGATTCGTTTAGCATAAAGAATCATGTAGTGTACTCCAAATGTGGGAATTTTTGGACACCTTGTATATATATATAATACGCGCGCGCGCGTGTGTGTATGTGTACAAATATATTGTTATAATTAAAATTCAAATATGCCCTTGCATGTTCCATATGCATATTGTTTATATATCTTTTATATATAACTTTGATGTAAAACGTATATCTTCGTAGAAAGGAAATTGATAAATGTAATATTTGTAAAATAATTATTGGTGCACATATAAATCAAGAGTCGCAGTATATATCTTTAAAAAATTTTATAATTTATTTATGCCGTATAGAATATCATTATAAAATTACCTTTTTTTTAAAAAGATAAAAAAGGGTGTCAAGTATAGTGGATATTGCCAACTCAAATGATTGTGTAAAATTTATAAAAAAGATTTGATATCAATAATTGGCGCCAAGTTATAGTCTTACAAACATGGAGCTATAAGTCCATTTTAATCCATTCAAATTATATATTTCAATCGTATAAAAGATTTGATAAACTACTATTTTAAAAAAATAAAACTGAAGTAATAGTTTCTTTAATTTAAAAATAATAAAAACCAAATTATATGTATATCTTTCTATCCATTAAAAACTTCTTTTTCTAATCCAAGTGATAGTAATTATTTAGCTTTAAAATATTATTATATCACAAAATTGCTTTATTCAACTTACGTTTTTATCACAAAGAATTATAAAGTAACAGTATAAAATAAATGATAAAATTTTATTTAAATAAACAAAAATTTTTATGTAAAAACACTTGGCGCTGTTTAGATCAAATGAAAATGCAAAACTAATGATGAGATTATTTGAATGTTAAAAATAAAGGCAAAATTTATTATTTAATATGATTAAATTATAATTACACACACACACACACACACACACACACACACACACACACACACA